CAAGAACTAACTCGACCATCTGTTTAATGAAATATATATAGTCGCTATATAGTTCGCTTCCCGCTATATAGTTCGTTTCGTGAGCCACGACAACTCCAAAGAAAGCGGGATCATCATAAATGACGCATTTTCGACAAATGCCTCCCGCATTCTTCGCTGCTAAATGGAGTGATAAGCTATGCTGCCGTGTACAGTCTCCGAGTGACAAACTTGCTTAGATTCATATCTTTTCGGATTTATAGACTGGGGGAAAATATCATTGACCTCCTAGCTAAGGCGCGTTTCCTAGCCGGCAGCTGGACAAAGGCAAGCCAGCAGACCAATGTGCTTTTGAAACTCCCTTCAACATTTAACACAGTAGCAGGTGACCGGCTGTTGGCTATCTTGGCGCATTTACAGTGCATGTCTACAGTCAAGTGTCTTTCAGAGAAGTGGACAGATCGATCACAGTTCGTCAGAGTGAAAAAGAACCGAACAGGAACGTAGCTGACAATCAGCGTTTGGCTCCTTAGCATTTGCACTTATATGTCCACACAAATGAGTGCCAGGTCCATTCACCTCGTTTGTGTGAAATACGTTGATTGCCGCCGTATTGAACAGATAATTGTATGTTACTTCGCAGAAATCGGTCCCGATTAGATTCGATCCCGCTTAAATCGACTCTAGTTGCGAAACGCTTTAAATGCACACTTTGTGACTCGTTGTACTCGGCACCGCCGCTACGTGCGGGTCTGAAAGCGGCGACGGAGCCCGCTCCGGTAATGATATTTTTCCGCGACCAAAACCTCTCAGCATGCTACAGTTTCATGAATTCATTAGACTGGATTCTTTGGAATCCATGTCGAGGACACGGTGACAGCAGTTCACAAATGTTCGCACCTCAGCTAAAGCTAAGAAGCTGCTAAACCGTTACTCGTCCAAAAGAACCCTCAAAGATAAATGGAAATCGGAAAAATAGCTGCAGGTTACATCATCGGCGTTAACAACACCTACGATTCGGTAAACCACAAAACGAGACCAGAAAACGGACCCGGCCGCAACGTCATGCAGATCGTCGTAGCCAGTCGTAATCCAAGAACGGCATCGACAGACGCGTTCATCGACGTATGCATCAGTAATGCGCAGAAGATCAAGGCGGATATTACTGGCATATGCGCGATCCGAAAATCTATCGAACTTGTTGCGCAATGGAACCACGATTACTAAGTGATGTTCGGGAACAACGGTGTCTGAGAACCGACCTCAGATCAGCGACGTTGGGCTCATAATGTAGGTTGTACGATTTGCACTGAACGGTAAGCAATGCTTCTTCTACAGGTGGATATAAGAAAGAAAAACTTATTCCCCGCTTACAGCCGAACCCAACAAGCTGAAAAGAAATAGACGAAACAGTTGTACGAATATTCTGAAGGCGTAGCTGAGAAGAAAATTTAATACACGACTGTCCGTCGAGACTTCAACGCAGCGGTCAGGGAAATAACGAACTATGCTGAGGTGCCCTCGGCCTATACGGGAGAGAAACAGACGTGGAGATCGCTTTGCAACCGGGGCTGAAATCAACCACCTCAACCTATGAACATCGTCTTCCAGAATGCTCCAAAGCGACTGTAAACACAGTGAAGCCCAGACAGAGTCTTTGAACCAAACTGACTATGGACTGACGGATAAGAAAACACCAATTTCAGACATGTCGGTCATAGACGAGACCGTCATATGAACGCGTGAGGCTACAGGCTGTTATGTTCCACAGTTACGATCGATGTCGAAAAGGAAGAACGATCGAAAGTGCCCAATCAAAGATCACCGATTTGGAGAACTTAGATTTGAACAGGAGGCTTTCGCGGAAAAGCTGCCATTAATGAAGCTGGAGATGAATATCAGTCACTGCATATAAGCAGATTATGACCATTCTGTTAATGGCATCAAAACTATCTCTGGAGCACGAAGCCGGTCAAAGAAGTCAACGACGACAAACACTTCAGCCCTTCGACCATGCAGTTACTGGCCAGAAGGGACAAACCGGTCAGAAGCAAAATAGGTAACGTGTACAGTGCATACGGAAGAAACTGAGAGATGACTACCAGGTTTACAACGGAATACGACCAGAATAGACGACGGAGAGGAAGAAAAGCTATGGAATGGTATACTCGTCTAAAACAGCGGATTCCGTTTAAGTTGAAAATCAAAGAATGAGCAAGAACTACTAATCGCAGTTCACTGAACGCGATCTGCACAAACTTCTACAACAGCCTGTATTCTTACAAAGTAGGCGTGAATCAGAAATTGTTCACGCTGCCCCAGCAGTCCTAGCCGAAGTCACCTCACCTTACCCAACCACTGAATAGGCCGTCAGACATGAAAAACGGCAAATATTCAGGCCAAGATGATATGAGACCTGTTTAAAGCGCGTGTAACAACGTTTCACGGAATATGCCAGTCAGAACAAGATGCCTAAAGTGTGGAAGACATCAATTCTTCTAATGGAGAATAGCGACTCACAACACCTGAATAACTATCGACCAATAACACTCTGTTGCAAGTGTACAGTTTTCACTAACATCACTGCCAACCGCATTCGGAAAGGACTTTAAACTAATCACAAGTCAGGAGCGGACCGGTTTCGGTACAGGGTTTTCTACCATTGACCATACATGCCATTCGGTAGCTCGGTGAGAAATACAACGAATGTCAAATGCTACTCATTATTGCTTCCATCGACTATCAGGCGTTCGATTCGATAGAACTGACGGTTGTGCTAGACGCCTTGCACGAACATGGCATAAATGCTGTTTACGTCAACCTGATCGAGGAATTAAAAACCGGTCATACGACCCATATGGTGCTGTTCAACGAACCACGTCGCATCATTATAGTTCGACTAGTGCACGAAAAACCGAGGACGTACAATCTCACGATCGGCCTTCGTCGTGTACCGTACTTCACCGGTAACTGCTAAACCAGCTAAATTGGTGCAAGCGTATTCAATACTGATGAAGAGCAGCTAGAACGCTTGTCATCTGAGGATGACTGCATCGTCCTCACAAAAGACGTGACGAAATCCAAAAGAAGATGCAGCAGCTGCAAGAAGAATCTCTCACCAAGGTTTTGCAGGTTAACCCTTCCAGGACGAAATGGATGCGAAACGAGCACTATCACTACGGCTATCCACGCAAATGGCATAGAACTCGAAGAATAATCAGTTAGGCGTATACCTCAGTCGCCAGATGGACCACATGAACTCTTAGGAAAGAAAAATTAGCAGAAGGAAGGCACCAGGGGCCAGCTTTGATCTATCAAAATATTATTACTCGGCAGTGAACTGCCCAAGCGGACGAAGAAAAAACTGTTCGAATCAACCGTCCTATACGCCGTCATGTACGCCGCTGAATGTTGGTCTGCCACTAGGGCCAAGGAAAACAAACTGATGGTCATGCAAAGAAGGATGGCGCAAAAGATGAGCAACGGATCCCGCGGGCTGACGTTCTAAGCGCACAAATTCTACCGCTGGCAGCACTAACGGACGCAACTTCTGCCTTCTATAAGGCCAAGAGAAAAAATGGGTCGATCATGTGGTTCGCCTGAGAGACAAGTAGTGAACGTCATGAATTACAAGGTTTTGCTGGATCACCTACGTCCAGTCGGTCGTCGAAGAACACAAGGTTTTAGGAACACTAAACGAGCTTCAATGGAGAGTTCGGCCGCCTTGAGTTAACCCCACAGTATCAAATGCTCGCTGTTGTGTTTTTCGCAGTCGTTTCGGCCAGCGACTTCGGAACCCCGTGTCACTGTGTACCCAGGCGACGGTTCGTCATATCTATACATCGTGTATATGTTAAACACTGCTAAAGAGATATTCGCCACCGAGACTTTTGCTGTTAGAATTCTCGATGATCCGACAAACTGCGTGCATGACGGCTTCGCCAGCTGTGCACAGAATGTGAAAGGAACTCGTATGGACATGAACACGCTGTACTCTTGGACAGAGGTGCGTGTTGCGCGGAAAAACGATGCATTCATCGACCGGGGAATAGGTGAACGGAGGCCGGCGTGTATTGATTCCGTTCCTTTCACACAGCCGTTTTTCTCTTCGATTCACTTATGTGTTTGATGTTGCGTTAGGTGTTTTTTAATGCATCATTGTTATGCCGGTGCCTGGAACCGCTGAAAAGCAGCTACCTACTATCTGTCACAGCAACAAACTTGACTTGACGCGGCTTTTACAGCGGAACAAGAACAAACAAATACACACCAAACGTAGAAAACTGTCAGCGTACATATAATCGCTAAGTCGTACATCGGTCCAACTGGACATCTGACGACGACAACGACAATCACCGAAACACGGTGTCACCTGATCAAGATTCCAACAGCTATGACAGAATCATCTAGCTTTCGAAGCAATACAAAAGCAGCTGCTGCTGAAAAATATAAACAAGGGAATGAAACAGTTACAACATCTAAGTGGAAGAATCTGCAACTCTGTTGCAGATCACACCATTCATATTCAACTTGAGAAACCTGCAGATATCGCCGAATTATTTGACAGGCTTACAAATGTACACCTGAAATAGACACCACAAAACTTGTTATAAATCTATGAATTCACATGTGCCCTAATCGGTCCATCCAACGTGACATTAACTGAACACGAACAGTTCAAAGTGCACCATGCCAAGACGATAAGTTCTGTCGTGTATTATGTTGTAAGCGAAAGCTTTACACTCGACTTCGATCAGCATGGCAGGCGTGAGAGACATGAACTTGACCACGGCCTGAAAGCAGAGACTTATTAATTGAAATGTCCATTACCGAGAACAACAACACGCCTGGCAGTATACTAAATTTATCGACTAAACAGCCTGGTGGCAGAAACAACGAACAGGCAATACTTGCTATAACTGTCGAACAAACTTTGTTTAGTAACGCTGAAATCGTTCAACTTCCATCCAGGATCTGTGCTTCGTACCTTCCCCTCAACAAACATATGCCTCCTTGAGGAAAGGAAAAAAACCGTCGCGATGTCGAACTCAGTCACAATTCGATGATAGCCGACATTTACAGAACTCCGTCTCCGTACAGCGCACTTCTCCGTTTCTAAGCCATCATCCAACAGTGACTTATTTTTTTAAAGTCAATTTCTACGGCATTGTGGCTGTAGTTTCATTTTAAGACAATACCATTTTGTCTACCTCAAAAGAACGAAAGCAAGTAGGGGTCTAAACCTTAAAACTGTCAACCGTAAGTGTAATCCAACGAGGACGTTATTACGAGATGAACTAGACGAGTTGCAATAAGGAGATTACTAGAGGCATATACATGAGGCCAATGTGAAGGAATTTACTTACTCTCATGACAAAATTGCGGCCAAATAGTGCACTAAACTGAGGCTAATCAATTAGACAGCCTAAACTCTCAAAGTTACAAATGGCGATTATGTCAACTGTACGACAGAGATATCAAAGGAACTAACGCCGCGTTGCGCAGCCCGCTTCGGTTCACACAAATTGTGGAGTGATTGTTTTTGCAATAATCTGACCCTGTAACCTTTCTGGTTGATCAGGATGACGCTGACCTCGTCCAGACAGTGGTCATTTTTAGGGCACGGGCAACAAAGATACAGAATATTGGATGGTCATTCATAATTGCTTCCGTATATTTATTACCTCGCATCCTCACTGTCCTAATATTTACAATAAAAACACGCTGATAATCATTACAAATAATGGAGTAAATAGCACTACTATTCGCAGACGAGCACCGTCATCAAACTTGATCCAAAAAATATTAACCCCAACCTTCCCACCCCTTCCCCATATTGTCCCCGCTGGAGAAAATCAGCGGATTTCTTTAGATACCCCGGCAATTATAACGTATGGCAATAGCAGTATATATCTAACTTCAGACAAAGGCTCAAAATGAGGACGAGTGGCAGGTAGTTAAATAAGTCGCATACGTCATCGACCGTAATGTTGTTTCACATCTACCTCACGAATAATCGAAGAAAAGATATTCGACTGACACTGCAAGCTACAGAATTCGCGTTTACGTCGTCGATACACTGAGTAACAAGCTAAGTTCCCATAAAGAATGGAAAAAACATGATCAATATGCCGTTCTTCAGATCTTCCCACAAGAAACCAGGTTCGTTGCTCTTTCTCATGAGGACGGCACAGTGCCTCGTGTTCGCAAGTTGTTTAAGAGGTATGTTTCGAACACCGAAGTGCGGGATTGGATTCCGCTCAAGGGCAATCTCTGTACTACTCAAGAATTCCCTTGAGCAAGAAATTTATCATAAATTGAGACCGAGGTCGTTCAGCCTGTAGAGTGTCGCACTCAGAACCGATATATCCTGAGTTCAAGCCCAGATAAGAGTCGTTCAGCCTTCTTTCTTCTGAGGTTGATAAATGAGCACCACTCTGTTGGAAGGAAACAGGAGACTACACACTATGCCTATCACGTCACTGTGGACTCCGCCTTAAAATAATAACGCACTCGTGGCTGATGGCGTAAAAAAGATCAACACCGTACCATCAACTGCATGAAAAGACGGACGTTTCTGATTCGACTTCAACCACACTGCATGGAGTTCGACAGCATTAAAAAGTTGGCGGTATCGACCGCTAAGCCGAAATCGTGATTAATGAGTTCCTACCGGTGCATCCAACACGTGCTTCGACGTTGAATATAACTTCATTGAAAAGCATGTCTTGCCTCGCTTATAACAAACTGGCGCCAATGTCATACGTCGGTTTACATTCATAGGATTCTCTTTCAAACCAACTTCATCGCCAAAAGGGCATCAGCAACAACTGTCTCATATGTGAAGGTAAAGTGAGGAATAAGGTTATACGTCACATTCGTTTCTAACGTCGTTTCGCCACAGCCTCGTTGTGAACGAAAATTCCTGTTTTGAAGAATCCTGTTCCGTAGTATCAAATGGTCAACGGTGGTGAGATGGTATCTCGTTAGCCCATTCCTCGATGGACACCGATGCGACGAGGTTCGCTGAACAGCTTGATGTAAAACATGCAAACGGTGTTCAATTCCTTGTTGAGGCTGACACAAACGGAGTTTATGAAATGTTCATCGAAAAAGTTTAGCACAGTCGTATAATCTGTCGGATCGAAATGCTGGATTACATGCATATGGTCGATGGTAGAAAAGCCGTAAGAAAACCGACTTGTTCCCAACGTGTAACTTAGCTTGAAGTTCATCCGAATACTGCTGAGAATGATGCCGGTAAAAAGTGTACTCCTGCAACGGGAGTAAAATTTGTCGATAGTTTTACAGGTCTAATGAGTCGCCTTTTCGACGTTAAATATCGCACTTGATGTGTTCCACAGTTTAGGCGTCTTGTTTCGCCTAATGCATTCCGTCAAACGTTTGACAAACTCCTTAAACAGGGCTGTTCCTACTCCTGGTCTTTTACTGTTTTTGCCAGCACATTTATCATTTTTCACAGTCTACAAAGTCCGTCTAGACGCACAATCTGTACCCAGACACTTTGATACCGGTTAATTCATCAACACCCGGATATGATTGAGTATAACAGAGACAGATGAAAAACTCGGCCTGTTCAGTCCACTGTTACTCAACCAGTTATCTGGTAAATAAAGCGTACAACATTAAACAGTAGCAGGCTTGAAAATCAAAGATATAAGACGAAGCTTTCGAAATTCTAGAACGATGGTGTCTTGTGATAACTGATGTTCGTACACTAATAACAGAACAGGCTTCCGAAGGCTTGCAGTTAATTACACTAATTTTCAAACTTACTATCATTTACGGTTACATGCTGAAGCCAGTACAGACAGACTCCGAATAACGTGAAATTCGAACTTATGCTAACTATTCTGAAAGCCTATGAAAAATTTACCGATAAAAAAAGTT